GAGAGAGAGAGAGAGAGAGATGTGATGTGTCCTTTGTTTGTTCACAGTGAATCAATCATGGCCGCCCAGGTGACTGAGTCTGATCAGATCAAACAGGTGAGAGACAGGAGCGTCACCTCATTAAATATTAATGAGGTGTTTTTATTGCTGTTGGTTTGTTGTTGTTTGTTGTTGTTTGTTGTTGTTTGTTGTTTCACTTCATAAAGAAGGAAACAGAAACTTTGTCATTAAATTGTTAAAGAAAAGATTAAAATGTGAACGTCTGATGTTTGATCGGTTCCAGTTCAAAGAGTTTCTGGGGACGTACAACAAGGTGACGGAGAACTGCTTCATGGACTGTGTCAAAGATTTCACCACCAGAGACGTCAAACCAGAGGAGGTAAAACCAGCCGATCAACAATCACCTGCTTACAGGTTCAAATCCAGGTTAACGTCAGGGACGCCCCACAGGTGACGTGATTGGCTGTTGGGGGAGGAGTGATGTCACATCTTCTCTGTGACCACTCCCCTGCCAGGTCACGTTTCTCACGTGACTGAGCACCAAGCGATTTATTGATTACGTATTGATTTTAGGGACTTTTTCTTTTGAAGATTTATTCTGAAGACGTGCGTTCTTATATAGATGAACGTCACATGTTGGGAAATTCAAAGTGTGTATCACTTTTTCTAATTAGCATAAGTAAACACCCGATCGATGCCCATAAAAGGGCGTGAGGCTGCACGACACCCAGAAATCACAGGAAATTAAAAAAGTTACGACTGATCGATAGAGAACGAAGTCGTGGATCCAAACAGCAGCTGATGTTCGTCATGATATGATCCATATCCTTCAGATTTTATTTACTGGCGCCCCCTGGTGGCCTTCAGTTCAGGAAGCGTTGGATTCGTGTTTCATGTGATCGTGTCGTTTCAGTCCAGCTGCTCCGAGTCGTGTCTGCAGAAGTACCTGAAGATGACTCAGCGGATCTCCATGAGGTTTCAGGAGTATCACATCCAGCAGAACGAGGCTCTGGCCGCCAAAGCCGGACTGTTGGGACAACCTCACTGAGCCCGACCCAACTGGAAGATCACATGACACCAGTGCGTTGAGCGGAGCCGGGCTGATACTGGACACTGTTCTGTCTCAAAGCATCATGGGAGAAACTGTGAAACTGTCCTTAAATGTCTTTGTTTGGTTTATTAAACATCGTGAAACTCGCCTGTGTTTTTTGATTTTTTTATATCTGTGAGAAGTAACTTTACTCAAATACTTTGAGTCAAACACAAAGTGAGGATCAGAACACAAACATGTTCCATCATCCTCGTTTTTATCCGGGACTCATGAAGTCACATGACCTCTGAAACATTTAATATCTACTGATTTTTTGTTTGGTCCATGTCCCATCTGTTAACATGGAAGAGGCAGGCTTATGACCGATACTGCACCCAGTCACCAGGGGGCGATGGAGACCCTTTGGCTTCAGTGTACACGTCGTCAGGTTCACGTTTAGATTCAGGTCTGAAATGAGACGCGGCCGTCGAGTGGAAACATATTTAAAAACTTTATTAGAAACAGAGAGCTCTGTTTATTGTGCACACAGTTCCAACATGGCTTAGCTTCTGTTCTCCGGAGGAAGTGTGTGTTTCTGTATTTACAGTCGTCGCTCTCGAAACCGCCGCTAGCAAAACACCAAAAAACTGAGGAGTTCATAATACAACAGTACAAAGAGTCTTCTCTTAAAAAATACTATAAATCATTCTTTACAGGCGTGTAAAACGTTCTTCTCAAATACATGTGTGGTTTTATTCTTTTCTTTACTCAGAGCTTTTTATGTACAAAACAACAAAATGTTCAGGAGCAGGAATCGGCCGTCGGTTCGAGCCTGACGCACAGAGGAAGACCCACAGAAGGGAGGGGGTGGGGGGTGGGGTAAGGTGGTGCAGCAGCGTCAGTACCGAGCTCAGACCCACGACGACGTACGGAAGATTAATTCTGCCAGAGGAAAAATGATCATTCTACTATTCTGAGGTTAAATCCAAATTTATAATGACTCACTAAAAACCACTGAAGTCTAATTTGACACATGAACTCATTAAAAGTCAAAATTAAAAAGATTTAAATCTAAATCATAAGTTTGAAGATTGAAATGACTTTTTAACCCAAATAAAACAATTAGAAAATTCCAAGTCAGAATTATGAGTCAATCCTCTAATTCTCTAAACAATGGAAGTCAAAATGTCTAATTATGAGACTTGAAGTAAAACACAGAGTCATTACTCCGACTTTAAGTCAAAATATTAAGAATTATCAAATCAAAGTAAACCAGTGATCAGATTATGTCACAGTTTCAATTTACTGAAGTCAAATTCTGTCTTTTTAAATTCTTTGATAATGAAAAGTTAATAATCAAAAATTATAATTTTCAAGTCAAAGTGAAGAAATAAAAAAACATTCTGGATCAAAATCAAACTTCACGTCAAAACCTTTAAAATCTCTTTTGTGACATTTGATCCATCAAAGTGGATTTTACTTTTTACCATTTCTACATTTCATGTATTTTCCCCTGCGCAGTAATGATCCTCCATACAACTCGACGCTTCAGTTCATTATTTTACGCATCGACTCTTTTCTCTCTCTCGCTGTGACGTCTGAAACTTTTTTAGGTTTTTGTCTGTTTTTACCAAAATAAAAGCTCTGATTTCGTATAAAAAGATCAAAAACACTCAGCAGGAAGTTGGGAAAGTCGTTTTTTTGGTTTAAATAAATAATATCTTCAGTTTAAAAAAAAAATCCCCCCCCACAAAATTTGCATAATGAACTGTGCTGCTTCAGGAATCTGTTTCCTGTTCCCACCTGCAGGAACCCCCCCCCCCCCACAAAATAACAAAACAGTCACATTATTCTGAAATTCAGAGACGCTGAGCTGAGGTACTGGGGGGGGGGAGGGGGAGGAGGAAAGAGAAGTGCTCTGTGGCGGCTTAACAGACGGCGATTTTCTTTGTCTCTGTGAACAGGAAGTCCATAGGTGAGGGGGTGGGGCTAAGATCAAGTGGGAGAAGCCCCTCCCCCACCCACCACCATTTGAAGTTGTGACGGCGTTCCCATCGGCCACCGCTGCAGCTCTCACCTGGAGGTTCTCAACTCTGACCCATCACGTCCTCTGCTGGCGGAGTGGGTGGAGTCTGTGGCTGCAGTGGGCGGGGCGAGGAGGATAGGAATATGGTGGGTGGGTGGACCTTGAGCGGGCGTGTCATCACCTGCACTCCACAGCAACGGTGTTCTGAGTGGGCGAGGCCGAGGACGGACTCATACCTGTGTCTGAGGAACCCGACGAGGTCGACGCCGTCGTGTTCGACACTGAAAGAGAAAAAGATTTCACCAGAGACAGGAAGTCAGTAAAGTGTGGACGTACAGCACCGTTTGATTGACACATTTATATTCCTGTCACTGAGCAGTCCGCTGCAGCTCCTGTCAAAATAAAAGCAGCTGAATTGACTGATCATTTCCTGCTCTTTCAAAATAAAAGCAGTTGAATTGGGCGGAGCTCCTACCCTCTCTCTCCTTCTTTTTTAGCCTCTTCCTGCGTCTGTCGATGGAGGCGACCTCTGACTTCAGGGTCATGTAGTACTTTCTGATCTCCTGCAGCTTGTCCTGCAGGAAGGAGATCCTCTCTGTGCTCGACATGTTGTCCAGCTCATCTGAGGAGGAGGAAGAAGAGACACGGTTATTTCTTCATCACAATTCTGACATTCAGGTCGATGAACCAGTCCAGGTCCACATGTGACATGTCCCCCCTCATCGTGATGAGGTCACAGAGCTGAGACATGATGAAATAACTGACGTGAACATATTTACACACAAGAGACATGTGACTGAGCAGACGCTGCTTTTTTGTCATATGAGAAACAGGAAGAAGGGTGTGAAATATTCTGTGTGGGTGGACAGAGACAGTTGTGTTTGTGAAGTCGTCTCATAGGGACGTAGATCATATTACTCCTGTCTGAACCCTGAACAATCAAACCAACACCTCATTATCCAGATAGATCAGTTCACGACCAAAACACAGGTTCTCCTGTTCTAGAGTCAGTAAGAGGAGAACAGGCGGTGGAACCTTCAGCTACCAGGCTCCTCTCCTGTGGAACCAGCTCCCACTCTGGGTTCCAGAGTCTGTAAGAGTAGAACAGGAGGTAGAACCTTCAGCTACCAGGCTCCTCTCCTGTGGAACCAGCTCCCACTCTGGGTTCTCTCCTCTCCCCCCCATGTCTCTCTCCTCCCCCTCTCTCTCCTCTCCCCCCCCTCTCTCCTCCCCCGGTGGAGGCAGATGTCTCCTCTCTGAGTCTGGTTCTTGAGGTTTCTCTCTGTTAATGAGGAGTTTCTCCTCCACAGACTCAAAGTGCTGCTCATGGTTCACCTGTTGGTTTCTCTAGATGAAGAAGATCTGAAGCTCTTCACCTTCTCTGTGAAGAGTCTGGAGATCATGGATGTTAGGATTTGGTGCATTACAAATAAAACTGAATTGAAGGATGAACGGTTTTAGAGCAACAAAGAAAAAAACATAGCTTTTTATTTCAGTTCCTGATACTTCCACAATGATATGAGCTCACGTGACCTTTGACCTCTGATCAGTTCATCCTTGAGAATTACAACTGGTCAAAATGTGAATAAATTCCCTAAAGACAGACTTGAGATACTAAAGTGTTGTTTGGATGAAATGTTCACAAGGTGAATAATGAGTTCAAGGTCAAACCTCTGAACTCTGACCTTTGTGTCTGGTCACTGAGGCAACGTCATGCTAATAAATAAATAAACACAAAGTTCAGAAGCTGAACTCAATAAAACAAAGCATTCAATCCTCGTCGACATGAAACAAACAGCTCATGGTGTAAATTATTACCGAGCTGGAGCGTCCACTTGTATGTTCTCTGAGGTGACGGGAAGTTCTGTTTGTCTTTGCTGTGAGAAGACGGAGACGACAAACCAGGACATCGAGACTTCTGAGACTTGGACAGAGACGACAGACGAGACTGGTCTTCGCTGTCGCTGCTGTGACCTGGACGGTGAGAGGAGAGTCAGAGCTTCTTAACCAAACACACGTTAAACCATCATCTGCTGATGAAAGAATCAAACACGTCAAATGTCATCGATGACCATGTGATGTGGGCGAGAGCTGCGCAACAAGGACGCAGTTTGACCTTGAGGCGGATTTGTCGACAGCTCGTTCCAGATTCTGGGACGAACGATGACGCCAACGCCTGAGATCTGGGCGCCATCTGTCGGTGACATCATCTCACCTGCTCCGTTCTTCTCCACCTTCCCGGGCGTGTTTGGTCGTTTCTGGTTGCGTTTGTGTTTCTTGGCCGACGGGCTGGAGTTACAGTCCATCGCCCTCTTCTGACCTGAGGGGGTCAAAGGTCACAGTTACAAACTGGTGTTGAGTCAGTGACTCGACTGTCGGCAAAGTTTAAACAAACCGAAGCGGTGGTCTTACCTCGGTCCTTGTTCTCCTGCAGTGACAACAGGGAGGTGGAGGAGGAGCTGCTGCCGTCAAACCCGGGACTGGAGTCGCCCTCCTGCTCCCCCCTCACTCCTCCCCTATCATCCTCTGCGGCACTCCTGGTCGGACGCATCTCCTCGGAGCAGGGGGTGGAGCTGGGAGTGGAGGCAGGGAGGAAGGGCCTGACCTGAGGCTGGGGGAGATGAGGTGTGTGTGGGATGGGGTGGGATGCTCGGAGGAGGTGAGACAGCGGGGGCGGAGCTTGTTGCTGCTCCCTCATCATCAGGAGGAGGTGCTCTGAGGAGACAGGCTTCTCCTTCTCGTCGGGGTCATCCAGGTCCACCTCGTGGCAGACGAGTGCCTCAGGACCGATCTGCGGCTCCAGCTCCTCAGTGGGGGGGGGCCCTGAAGCCTCTGGGGCAAGGGGAGGTGTCCCAGCATGCATCTCTGGCTCCTTCATGGGTCCACCTGTTGGACGCTCCTCTGATACCTCCTTCTGTGTCTCCTCCCTGAGACGGGGTGACTCCTCTGTCTTCATCAACCCCTCACTCCTCTCTTGACGGAGTGGGGAGGAGACGGTTTTGGGCGAAGCTCCAGCCGCCACCTTGGGTGTGGGGGCGGGGGATTTGGGAGAGGCTGCCTCCTCCGGCTTCCTGTCTGGGCGGAGCTTCTTCTCTGCAGCTCTCTGTTCTGCTGCTTTACGTTTAAGAGTCACACTG